GGTTGTCTGGGTTAACTCATATTTGGGTAAGAATCCCTTCTTTTCCTGACAAAAATCAACTTTTGCTTTAAGACTTCAGGAAGAGGAGAGAAGTAATCTGATTTTACTTTTTGAACAGTTCTAATTGTTAGGAAATTTTCCTTCATGTCATGACAAAATCTGTCTCTGTGACCTTTTCCTGTTGCTCCCAATTCTGCCCTTTGAAGCAGAAGTCTGATCCCTCTTGATTGTGATAGCTCTTCAAATAAATGATGACAACGGTCATATGCCCCCAACTTTTCTCTTCTCTGGGCTAAATCAGGGGGTCAGCTGGATTTATTTTTACTCTTATGGCCTCAGTGACCACTTTATACGAATTATCACCACATCTGCATCTCTACAGCTGACCTGTCATTAGTTCCCTATCTCCCAACCAATACTTCAAACTCAACATGTCTGAAATTGAACTATCATTTTCTTGGCATCCCTTCCTAGCTTCCCATTCTGTTTATAAACAGCAGGCCATATAGTAGTGGCTGGAAGTGGCCTCAGGGCTGGCATTGGACATTTTGGAGTTTGGAAATTGTCCTGGGAGGGTGAGGGAAGGATTTGGATTACTCAGACTTTCATTTTTTTATGTTAAATTTTATTTTTAAATAGTATTTTGTTTTTCCTTCAATTACATGTAAAACTAATTTTTTAACCTTTTTTTAAGTTTTGGGTTCCAAATTCCATCACTCCCTCCTTGTTCTCCCTCTTCCCTGAGATGGTGAAAATCTGACATAGGTTATACATATAAAGTATTTCCATATTAGTCGTTTTGTGCAAGAAGACTAGAACAAAAAAAGAAAGTAAAAATGGCATGCTTTAGTCTGTGTTTAGACAACATCAGTTCTTTCTCTGAAGGTAGGTAATATTTTTCAATATGAGTCCTATGGGATTGTCTTGGATCATTGTATTATTGCTAAGACTAGCCAAGTCATTCATAGTTCCTTTTTTTTTTTTCAGGCAATTGTGGTTAAGTGACTTGCCCAGAGTCACACAGGTAGTAAGTGTCAAGTATTTGGTCTGAGGTCAGATTTGAACTCAGGCCCTCCTGACTTCAGAGCTGGTGCTCTATCTACTGCGCCACCTAGCTGCCCCCATAGTTCTTCAATTTACAATATTGCTGTTACTGTGTACACTGTTCTCTTGGTTCTGCTCAATTCACTTTGTATCAATTCATGTAAATCTTTCCAGGTTTTTCTGAACTCATCCTGCTTGTCATTGCTTGTAGCACAGTAATATTCCATTACAATCATATACCACACCTTGTTTATCCATTCCCCAATTGATGGGCATCCCCTCAATTTCCAATTCTTAGCTGCCATAAATACTTTCGTATAAGTAGGTCCTCCCTCCCCCTGCCTTTTAAAAAATCTCTTTGGGATACAGATCTAGCAGTGGTATGGTTGGGTCAAAGAGTATGCAGTTTTATAGCCCTTTGGGCATAGTTCTAAGTTGTTCTCCAGAATGGTTGGATCAGTTCACAACTCCACCAATAGTTGCTCAGGCTTTTGAAAGCTGGGTGAGCTTTGGGAGAAATGATGCAGTAGGCAACAAGCATTTATTGAATGCTCACTGTATGCCAGGCACTGTGCTATGTTGAGGATACAAGTACAAGCAAAAAGCTCCTCAAGAAGCTTATATTCTAATAATGTACGTTGTGTGAGAGGTACCAGTTGGTGTGTGGTGTGGGGAAAAGTTCCATCAAGGGTGTGTGAGGAAAAAGGTTAATGTGAATAAGTGAGTGAAAAGAGGGTTCAGTGAGTGTGTATGCATGATCTTATGAGTGTGGGAGATGGGATATGCTAGGATGTGTGAGTGTAGGAATAAATGATGGAATTGGATGAGTGTAGGAATTGGAGAGTCCCAGCCATTGGACTTGGATCCCTGATCCAAGAAGGACTGTGTGCAAGGGGGACACCAGTGAGCTGGGTCCTAGTCTACACCACCCCTAGCATACATACACACAACATTCTGACTACTAACAGGATGAGTTATGTCTCCCTTCACCAATCCATTCTTCATATACTTCCCAAAATGTCATTTCTATAGATCTGTCAATTTTGTTGTTGCAGTCATTTCATCATATCCTATTCTGAGTGCCACTATCTGGGGTTTTTCTTGGCAAAGATACTGGAGTGGTTTGCTATTTCCTTCTCCAGCTCATCTGACAGATGAGGAAACTGAGGCAAACAGGGTTAAGTGGCTTGCCCGAGGGCACACAGCTAGTGAGTACCTGAGGCCAGATTTGCTCTCAGGTCTTCCTGAATCCAGGCCCAGTGCTCTGTCCACTGCACCATCTAGCTACCCCACAGATCTACCCATCATCTCTGTTAAATAAACTCCAAGGGCTCTCTTTAGAATCAAATGCAAACTTCTCTCTCAGGCATTTAAAACTCTTTACCATTTGACTCCAACCTTCTTCTCCAGGCTTATTATAAATTACTTCTCTTCATTTTTCAATCCATCCAAACTGACTTTCACTGTTTCTCACGCATAAAACATGAAAGCATAGGCGGCCCCTCATGTGGAATGCTCCCTCCTTACCACCATGTCTTCACCTCCCTAGTTACTTTCAAAGCACAGCTCAAATACCAATTTGGATTTGAGACCCTTCCTTATCTCTGCAGTTGTTAATGCCTCATATATAATTTTGTACATGCTTTGGACATATGTTACTTCCCTACCAAATTTATTTACTTTGTGTAGACTTAGATGTGTAGATTTTGTCTCCCACTAGAGAATATGAGCTCCTTGAGGGCATGGACTGTTTAATTTTTGTTTTTTGCATGCCTTGTGCTTAGCATGGTACCTGGAACATAGGAGATGCTTTTTGTTTGCTTGCTTGCAGAAAGGGTGTTAATCTCAGCTTGTCTCATCCAAACTCCCTGAATAACATGTTTTCGAGATCATTCAAGTTCTATTTTGGGAAGGGAGGGCCCAGGAAAGGTGGGGAGGGAAGAGGGATGGAGGGAAATAGAATGATCTGGGAGCTGGGACAGGGGTGGCACACGGGCAGGTTCTTATCTAGGTATGAAAGGCTTTTCACAGACATTTTACTTCTAAGATTTCTATCTAAGATACAATCTTATTCTATCTAATTCTATTTATTTCTATATATATCTATATATCTACATATATTTCTATCTAAGTTACAGTCCTATTCTATCAATTTCTATCTAAGATACAAAGATACAATATTCAAGTAGAAGGGGAGGGCACTAAATCATACATAAAGATCCCTGCACGCCGCACATTGACTTAGAAAACCTCTGTCCTATTGCATTTTTATTTATCTTGTTAAATGTTTCCCAATTACATTTTAACCTGGTTCAGGTCAGTCAGAGGGTGACCAGGGACCACATTTTTGACACTTCTGTTCTAAAACTCAAACCCTTATTCCCTAGGAGAAGACGACCTCTGTGAAGTAGGAGATGAGGAGAGGATAGCACTTCTAAGCATTCTCAGCGTGACCAAACTTCACAGGTTTAGGGGCATACTACTGCTTGGCATGTAGTAGGTGCTTAATAAAAGCTTATTGACTTAACAGAATTCATGAAGTTTCATGTTATTTCAGAAGTCAATAATCTACATCAGATACCAGGTAGTTTGATCAGAGGATGAGTATAGGATATCTTTGTTATTATCTTCTTATGCTAGTTGTTAATGTTTATTTCCAGAACCAACTATCTTTACGATATTCTGAGACATTGCTGAGTATAGAATACTTCTTAAAAAATTATTTATAGGCAGTTGGGGTTAAGTGACTTGCCCAAGGTCACACAGCTAGTAAGTATAAAGTATTTGGTCTGAGGCCGGATTTGAACTCAGATCTTCCTGATTTCAGGGCCAGTGCTCTATCCACTGCACCACCTAGCTGCCCCTGGAATACTTTTTAGTGCAATAAAAGGGTCATTGCAAAGGGCCAAGGAGGGGGTTAAGATAATTTACGATGTACACTTGTGTTTTCAGTGCATTTGTTCCACTTTTATTTCAGTCATGTGAAAAAATTCCATCTTTTCATTTTGTGATTGTTCTGTCGTTTCAGTTGTGTCTGACTCTTTGTGACCTCATTTGGGGTTTTCTTGGCAAAGATGCCGGAGTGGTTTGCCATTTCCTTCTCCAGATCATTTTGCAGATGAGGAACTGAAGCAAACAGGGTTAAGTGACTTGACCAGGGTCATACAACTAGTAAGCGTCTGAGGCTGGATTTGAACTCAGAAAGATGAATTTTCCCGATTCCAGGCCTGACATTCTATCTACTGGGCCGCCAAGATGCCAAACTAAAAACAAAATCATAAAATAAAAGTTTGAAAAGGGATCACAAGATCGTCTGGTTTGATCTGCTGCCTTCCTGTAGGGAAATTAATCTCGTATTGAAGATCTCTAAGGACTGATGATCCATAAATTCCCTTGGCAACTCTTTCTAGTATTTATCATACTGACTGTCAAAAAGCAGTGTTAGTATGGGGCTGTGTATCAGGAAATGGTCTTGTTATGCAGAACTGGACATCATGATGGCAAAGTTAAAATGGGCCTCTTTCAACATATTAAAATTAGTGGATGCCTTGAAGCATACTTGCTTCTGCACCCCAGTCTCTTTTTCTTTCATGATTTGCAAAGTAGAATAGCATAGAAGAGTGTTTAAGACTAGAAATAGATTTCTGATGGGGGCTTTTCACCCAGAAGTCTTTCATAGTGGGAAGAATTCATAAAAACTCACATTTATATTAGTACTTTAAGGCTTGCAGAAGCTTTCCTCATAACCCTGTAAGGGAACTAATCAAGTATTATTATCCCTATTTAACAGATGGAGAAAACCAGGGTCACATGACTAGTGTCAGAACTAGGACAAAGGTGTTCTAACTCCAAAATCAATCCTCTTGACTCTACACCATATGGGTCATACTTGTACCATGTTGAGGGATTGTGGGTGGTTACAATAATACTAAGTGAGAGAAACAGAAGAAGAAGCATACTTTTAAAGATATTTAATAAGACTTTTTTTCAGATCAGTACAAAAATTTTAAATACAAAAATGATTTGCTATCGACAAGTCTCAAATCTACAATGGAAACTCAATAAAGTTACCAGTCTTTTCACTCTTTGACATATTCTGCAAGATATTTGAGGTTAGGCACCCACTAAAGTTATTTCCCTCCCCATAGGTTATCATGTTGCATTAAAACTTTGTACTTAAATAATGGCAATGCCAGTTTTGTCCATTTTTCTGTGGTCAAATTCTAGTTAATTTTGAATTAAATAGAGATTATGGTTCAGAACAGATTCATGTTAGGTCTGCTTTTACACCAAAGCAAAAGTATAACATGTAACATTCAAAGGGGAAACACAGACATATAGATAACTATTTTAAACTCTTTTTTTTAAATTAAGTGAAATAATTCATCATTTTGCTCTGAGATTAGCACCATTGTAGAACAAACAGTACTTGCATAGAATTTTTCCTCTGCCTCCCCACCATCTACAAGTTAGAAGCTTATGCCTGCTAATATACAAATTTAGGCAAATAAGTAACACAACCAATAAATAAGTTTGGAAGCAACTATTTTCAATAATTCTGATAAGTGAAATTTCATTTCAACTGATTAGGAAATTACTCCCCACCTTGGTGGAGAACTAACTGGAATGCATATATATATGGAGACTATTTCACAAATGAGTTGCCCCAGTTGACCATTTTACTTCAAGTCAATTTGAATGCATCTACTCATACACTAGATGGGACACTGTATTATACTGTGTGTGGTTTATTTGTCCCACCAAAAACTCAACATTCTTGTCATATTAATCATTTGAGAGAACAGACACAAAGACTTTATATCCACCAGATGCTATCAGCTGTGATAATGAATGCTGAGGCTTCTTTGGATGAAAACCTTTGGCATTTAGCTAGTAGTGAATAAGTTATCAACAAATTAATTTATTTTCAGTCCTCTTAAGAAGAAACTGCACTTCTATACCTCACATAGAGAAGGTACATCAGGTCATGAAGATAATTTTTCTGGATTATTTAAGTTAGTTAACTGGTTAGTTACAACTAGTCCCGTTAGAAGCCACCCGAATTGGGCATATACACCATGCACTGTTTATACTGTGTTTATCTGTATATTTCCCCCTCATTTCTTTCTTCTCTTCCACACTCTGAATTTTGAGCACATATAATGTCTTTATTCTCCACATCATTTATCCCCATAGGATATCCCATAGGATGCTACTATCAGTGTGGCCAGAAGGAAATAGATTTAAAGTGGCTCTTTCATTTCTTTCAGACCAGAAGAAATGACTTGCTATTGACAAATCTCAAATCTATAGTGGAAACTCAATAAAGTTATCAGTCTGTTTATTCTTTGATATACCCTATAAGATATTTGAGGTTAGGCACCCCCTAAAGTAATTTCCTTCACCATAGGTTCTCTTGCTGCATTAAAACTCTGTATTTAACAAATAGACCAGTTGAGCATGTCTATAGGTCTCTGGGTGACTACTTGAAAGTAATTTAAATGTTTTTCCCTTTTCTGAAGAAATGAAACCTATATAAAGGTCCTGATCCAATGCCTTATCTTGGTATGAAGATGACTCTGGGTTCTTGAAGGTTATCCCACTGAAGTGCAAGCTGTGACAGGTTCTGCCATGCTAGGAAGACTTCAGTTGTGGGCCTGCTAATAGACTGTATATCTATTGTCTGAAAACCAACCTAGCTAAGTTTGCAGAGGCTTTATCATCATAATGGCCTCAGAGTGATGGGATTTTTCAGCCGCAGCAATGCTTGAAGATCACCTATTAAATTTAGAGGAGTTGAGATTTAGAAAAGCGATTGGGAGAAGATTATTTGTTTTCCTTCTAATGGCATTTTCACAGTGGCTATTTTTAGTGGAACAGATGCCCACATTGACAAAATTGTAGATTTTTGAAGTAGAGAAATAAGAATTGTTGGGCCTTTTTAAAAAAAAAAAATTTTTTTTTGGCCTAGTTCTACGACTTTCATTGATGTGGGGAACTAACTACCAGAGAAGAAGGTCCTCTTGTTGGTGCAGATTGGGCACTCTTTTCCAATTTATAGTTTTAAAGTTGCCTAGTAACAACTTTAGAGTTGAAGTGATTTGTCCAGATTTTGTGTGTGTGTGTGTGTGTGTCTGTGTGTGAGTGTGAGAAACAGAACTTGAGTCCAGGTGTTCCTAACTCCTACAACATCTCTCCATCTACTTTGCACACTGTCATGCAGACACAGTGACATGTATATGAGCCTGCAGTAAACTTTTATCATGCCATTTCCTTAATCTATGGGGCAGCATAAAAGTCGTGTATTGTCATTGTCCTCTGAAATTATAATTGGGTCTTCAGCAGTTTACTTCTATGAGAGCAGTTCTTGACGCACTGTTTCACATACTTTAGAAAACTGTTGGTGCTCTTACTTCTAAGTTTCAGAGATTGATTTTTAAAGAAAAGTTTATTTTTCCATATAATTCTAAAGGTTTTTGCTTTGTATGTAAAGGGATGGTTTAGGGTTTTTTTTTAAAAGATACTTTGTAACCTGAAAAAAGTTTGAATTGATTTGATATAGTTATTGTGATAGGCAAGAAAATCCCTTCGATATTGAAAAGTGATTGAGAAACTGTGGTTTGTCTTCTCTCTGGCTGTGGCTTCACAGTGGCTTTTTTTTTTTTATAAATATACATTTGATATACAATTGATATCTGCTAATGAATATTATACAGAGTCTGAAGGTTACTGGGGTGGGGTGGGGAACACTTATTTCATTGACCCCAATCACTTTTCTCCCCAAATAACATCAAGGTTTTTTTTTTTTTATTTTTGGTCTGGTTAGATCTAGTAAGAAATAATAGGAACGAAAGCTTATGGAAGAAACCTCAGGGGAAAAATATTTCAGGAATAAACACCTTAACCACCATTCTCATTTCCCAGCGATCTTGTAAGCATCTTGAAGATACAGCCCAGGACTTGTCCTTTTGTGTCCTCCATGGCCCTTCTTGCAGTGCTGGATACGTTGTCTCAGCATCTTCTGGGTGCTTACTTGTTGATTGATAGAGTAAATGGCTCCCACTGAGTAACAACCCTGCCCCAAGTGGGAATTCCGTTGCCAAAACCCCAGCAGCTTACTGGAAGGCAGCTATCTTCTGCATGGTATCCATTGCCTCAGATTACCTCTGCAAGGCATTACTACATAATTGCCCCCTTCCTATGTTTCACTAGTAAAATACTTGTGAAAATATGGGGTAAATCATGCAAGTAAATGCGGTATGTGATTTTTTTTTTTGGTCATTGATGCCTCCTTAAGATTTATTCTTGTGTAGTTTTAAGTAAACAATATGAATGAATGACTTGTGTTAGCTATGATCCTTCATAATGAAATATTTTGACTGAACTTTAGAAAGCATGGTATTGTGGAAGTGTATAATATTTGCTAATATGATTTCAGTGGGTACAGAACATCTGTCAGAAATGTGATATATAGATTCTTCCTGTCATTTTAATAACAAGCTCTGCAGAACATTAAACTTGCATTTTTATTGTTTTTGTTTTTTGGCTTTTTTTTTTTGGTATATGATGGTCCAAACTTCCATTTAAATATAACTTTTCAACAGTATAAACACTTTGAAGCAATTGTGTGTTTTGTGTTTGGTTTTTCTCTGTTACTTCATTTTTTTCTTTTGCTGTCTTTTTTTCCTCATGTTTTTCTTACTTTTTTTTTTTAAATTTACATGGGATATAATAAATATCCTGAAAAAGAGGAATGGACGTATTGTCCGGCGTATAGTCCAGCAGCTTGCTCTGAGGGCATCTGCAGAAAAACCCGGTCTCCAGGTCTCAGCTGTAGCACGGCGCTCCCTGATGCCTGGTCTAGAAAGCCCTTTTTGTACTCGTCGTACGTGTACATCATTGGGTCGTTGTTCTTGAACAAAGCCACCCATACGTTTCCGCCTTTGCAATGGACATGGTATGCAAAGTAGTAGACACCAGGGACCTCGCAGGTGAAGATTCCTGTCTGGGGGTTGTAGTTCTGCCTTCCGTTGTAAAGCAATTTGTCAAACTTGACTGGGGCCCCCACTGGTGGGAAGGGTGTGGTCAACTCAGCTGTAAATGCAGGCATCTCATAAGCTATGCCTCCGTTTTTGCCTTTCTTGCCCCCATAGGCATGTGGGGTTTTCACTCCATCAATCCCTGGTCCCATTTCTGGCAAATACTCTCCATGAGCTGGTGGTGTGGGAGGCATCACAGCTGGGGCACCTGGGGGACCTGGAGGTCCTGGGGGACCTGGAAGGCCAGGCTGGCCTTGAGGGCCAAGAGCTCCAGGCTTTCCTGGGGGTCCATGCAGTCCTGCTACCCCAGGCTTTCCTACCCCAGGGAACCCAGGAGGACCTGGTAGACCTGGTTCTCCTTTGGGGCCTGGGATTCCAGGAGGTCCAATTGGACCACTTGGCCCCCCAATTCCTGGAATTCCAGATGGGCCTTGTAATCCCTGATCTCCTGGGATTCCTGGTTCCCCTTTGGGTCCAATGAGCCCAGGGGCTCCAGGGATGCCTGGTAAACCTTTATGCCCAGCTTCCCCTTTGGGCCCGATTGGACCTGGCAAACCTCTCATGCCTGGGGGTCCCACTTCACCAAGGAAGCCTGGTTTCCCTGGGAAACCCTGTAACCCTGGCTCACCTTTGGGACCCAATGGTCCTTGTGGCCCCACAGCTCCACCTTCTCCTTTGGGCCCTGGGAAGCCAATAGCACCCGGAGGTCCCATGGGACCTGGAATTCCAGGCAGGCCTGGCTCACCTGGGGGCCCCCCCATTCCAGGTACACCTGCAGGGCCTTTCTCTCCTCTAGGTCCAATAGCTCCAGGAAGACCCCCCATACCTCGGTCACCCTTAGGCCCTGGGAAACCTGGTTTCCCAACCCCTGGAAGGCCTGGAGGTCCTGGCAACCCAGGGAGTCCTTGCTCTCCTTTACCACCAGGAAATCCAGGTCGTCCGGGGATGCCATCCTGACCTGGCTTTCCAATTCCAGGCACACCGGGTGGTCCTTGAATCCCAGGTACGCCTATGGGGCCCTGTGGTCCTGGCTCACCTTGAAGGCCTGGTTTACCTAGAGGACCCTGTGGCCCTGGGAAACCCGTCACCCCTGGTTTGCCTATTCCTGGAAGCCCCACAGGCCCAGGAGGTCCATGCATCCCAGGGGGACCTTTTAGTCCTGGCAAACCTGGCATCCCAAAGCCCTTCTCTCCTTTAGGCCCTTGAAGACCAGGAAGTCCTGGCTGTCCTTTGGGTCCTGGTTCACCCTTTGGTCCTGGTTGTCCTGGTAACCCTGGGCCACCTGGCTTTCCAATGCCAGGAAGTCCATGAGGCCCTGGAGGTCCTTGTGGCCCTGGCATGCCCATAGGTCCAATCTCTCCTTTTGGTCCTATTTCACCTTTTGCCCCAGGCATTCCCACACCTCCAGGTTTTCCTGGCATTCCAGGCATACCTGGCTTGCCAATCCCTGGATAGCCTTGGGGGCCTGGTTTTCCTTTGATTCCTGGTATCCCATGGCCTGGTAAACCTGGGGGTCCAGGTGGTCCTCTTGGGCCAGGTTCTCCACGGGGACCTTGTTCTCCTCTTAAACTGGCTAATGGTATTTCTATTGAGAGAGAGAGAGAGAGAGAGAGAGAGAGAAAGAGAGAGAGTTAGGTAGGTAGGTAGAGAGGTAGAGAGAGAGAGAGGTGGGGGAGGCATGGTGGGAACCATTCCATTAGTCTTAAGTTCAGCAAAGTTGAGGCCCTGCTTAGTTCTGCTAAATTAAGACACTATTTATTTAGTAGGATAATGAACAGGGACGGAAAGAGTAGGAGCCATGTGCTATACTTTTATAGAATTATAGTGAATAAATCTGACACTTCACTGAAGCATAGTTTTAGAATATGAAAAGGACCAATGTTTTGTTTTTCTCTTCCTTCAGTGCTGGCTAGTGAAACAACACTGCTCTTTCTCCTGACTTCCCAAGAAGCCCCTTACACTCAAAACATGACAGTCATCATTGGCTCTTCTACAGGAAGCCTTTCTCAATCTCTCTTAATTCCAGCATCTTCCCTCTCTTCTTTATTTCCTATTATCCTGAATATAGCTTATTTGTACATAGTTGTTTGCATGATGTCTCCCTCATTGGATTGTAAGCTCTCTGAGGGCAGGAACTGTCTTTCGCCTTATTGTGTATCCCCAGTGCTTAGCACAGTGCCACACATAGTAGGTGCTTAATAAATATTTGACTCCCTTTGCTCTCCCTCACCCCTCACTTCTAGTTCATCGACACATCTTGTCTATTCTATTAAAACAATGTCTCCTACAGTCATCCTTTCCTTCCCATTACTGTTGTCCCTCCCCTAGTTCAGGCCCTCATTATTTCTTGTCTCAGCTGCCATAGTTCCCTCCCAGCTCATTCTCCTCTAAACCATCCTTCATGAAGTTGCCAAATTAATCTTCCTAATTTTGATCCTGCCATACCCCTTGCTCAAAAATCTCTGATGCTTCTCTATGATCTTTGGAATAAAATCCAAACTCCCCAATTTAGTGTTCCAAGTCTTTCATGTTCTGTTTCTTGCCCACCTTTCCATTCATAACTTTGTTTTATATCAAACTTCAGATTAGACTCTCCACTGTCAAGCTTTCCCTTGGTGAGTCCTACATCTGGAATACATTGTCTTTTGTGTCCTTCAGAGCTTGGCCTAAATGACATCCCTTCCTGTGGAGTCTTCCTTGATCCTTCTAGACAGAAGTGATTGCTTCCTCATCTGAACTCTCAGCACACTTTGTTTGTGCATGCCCTTATTCTTTCTTATTAAACTGTACTCTGTGGTAAATGCATTTGTATACTTATCTCCTCTCCTCTAATAGAGTATAATTTTTTTTTCTTTTTTGGTGAGGCAGTGGGGTTAAATGACTCGCCCAGGGTCACACAGCTAGTAAGCGTCAAGTGTCTGAGGTTGGATTTGTACTCAGGTCCTACTGACTCCAAGGCCAGAGTTCTACCTACTATGCCACCTAGCTACCCGCAGAGTATAATCTTGAAGGCAGAGATCCAGTCTCCTTATCTTTGAATCATCCTAAGGATCTAATTAGGAGCAGCTAGGGAGCCCAGTGGGTGGAGTGCTGGGCCTGGAGTCAGGAAGATACCTCCTGAGTTCAAATCAGACACGTACTAGCTATGTGATCCTGGGCAAGTCACTTAATCCTGTTTGCCTCAATTTCCTCATCTCTAAAATAAGCTGGAGAGGGAAATGCCACACCACTCCAGTATATTTGCCAAGAAAATTGAGGTCATGAACTGTCAGACACAACTGAAAAAAAAACCAAAACAACTAAAAGGGGCCGAAAAGAAGCTAACACAATGTCTTGCATGTAGTAGGCTCTCAATATTTTTTTAAATGAATGAATGAATAATATATCAAATGGAAGGAAGATACATTTTTTGTCTTCTCAACTCTGAGTATAGGGGTGATAGGCTCGTAACTAGAGCCAGAAGGACTTCAGAGGTCATTTAATCTAACATCTTAATTTTACAAATAAGAAACTCAGGTATAGGTGGATTAAGTGACCTGCCCAAGGGCATAAAGGTAGCAAATACCAGAGGTAGGATTTGAACCCAGATCCTCTGACTCCAGAACCAGTGTTCTTTCTAATGTACCTCATTTGGGTGGGACTAGCGTGCTGAGATTTTTGATAATTATGTATACTTCCTCATGAAAGAAGAGAATTATTCTATTGTGTGTGTACAGTGTTGTTATATTTCACAATGACCTTCTCTCTAGAATTATAGAGATTTCCTTAAGTCTCCTGAATTGTACTTTTCTCCTCTAAATTCCTTAATTGGATAATTCAATATTTTAATTCTTTGTGACAACTCTAATTTTAGGTTATACCTAAAGGTAGATGAAATATGTGACTATAAGTGATCATCATCATCAATAGGAATAATAATAATAACAATAATGAAATTGAGATAAACTCAAAATGCAAAACACTCTTGGTTTTCTATGTTAAATCAGGTCATGAATAAATGAAATATTGAGATAATACCAAACACCTGTTCTGGTCAATAGCAATGACCATTTATGATCATGATATATTTTTATATATATATATATATTTATATTTATATTTCTTCATATATTATTTTATATATTATCACATATTATAAGTATAAATATTATATTACATATATTGTTATTTACTATTCTATATTATTTATATATATTTCTGATCATTATATCTTTTATATATACACATGCTAACAGGGAGCAAAACGATTTGATAGGGTTCTTATTCTTTCCTTTTCCTCTGTTCATAGTATGGTTCTGATCCTAATCAGTACAGAAATGATCAAAACAGAGGCATTTGTAGGAAAAAGAGGAAAAACAAATCCTTAGTTTGGATTATCAGTCCTTGAACAGCCAAGAATTGACTGTAACTTTCCACACGCCAGTATATCATACATTGCCTTAGGAAGTCAATTTACTACTTTGTATTAAATTATAGTATCAGAGAATAAAGAAAGCCATCTACCCTTTAGCTAAACTTTTTTTTTTTTTGCCTCCCCACAGTAGAACATGAGCGGGGTGAGTCTTTTGTTTTCTGTTTGTATTTGCAGTGCACAATGATTGGAACATAGTAAACAATAAATGCATTTTTCATTCATTTTCCCCTTGATTCTAGTTTTTAAAAAATGATTTCATAATTGCCAAATCTAATGGTCTTTTCTCAGTCTGCATCCTTCTTGACCTCTTTGCAATCTTTGACACCATTGATCATCTTGTCTCCTGGATATTCTAGGTTTTGGGGACACTCTTCTCTCTAGGTTTTCCTCCTACCTGTCTGACCACTCCTTAGTCTCTTTTTGGTGGATCCAGGTCATGCCTGCTAATATCCCTTAAGGTTTTGGTTGTTCCCCCCCACCCCCTGCCCCAAGCCTAGGGGGGACAACCTCCTCCCCTCTTGCCTACTTCCTTCCCTGGCACCCTTCAAGAATTAGCTCAAATCCCAGCCTCTGTAGGAGGTCCTTCCAGTCTCTCCCCTCTCTCACCCCTAGGGGCTTTCGTCCTTTTAGACAATTTATAACTTGCATATAGTTATTTGCATATTGTGCATGCAAATGGTTGTCCCCATTAGATTGTGAGTTCATTGAGGGAAGGGACTGTGTTTTTGCTTCCCTTTGTATCCCCAGCTTTTAGTGCAATGTGTAACACATAGAAAGCTCTTATTAAATGCTTGTTGATTAAACTGTCTATTCTCTCTTTAGACCACAACCCCCCCAACCATTGTGTCTTATTGTACAATTCCTGATGCAATGCCTGACACTCAGTAGACATTTTATAAGAATGAACAGAAAACAAAAAGTAAAATTCAAAACATGCTTTTCTTACCCATAATTATGATCTAAACCAAAAGGGGACTCAGAGATTCTCTAGTCTAGACCGTTTCATTTCATAGATTAGGAAATCTAAGGTCCCATTACTTTATAGGAAGACTTAATGTCTTTTTTTGAGGCAATTAGGGTTAAGTGACTTGCCCAGAGTCACACAGCTAGTGACTGTGTCTGAGCCCGGATTTGAACCCAGGTCCTCCTGATTCCAGAGCCGGTGCTCTTTCCACTGTGCCACCTAGCAGCCCTGCTGTTTTTATCTTTATTCCAGTACCCAACCAGTGCCTATCACAGTAGCCTATGCTTAGCATTCACTTAATACACATCTACTGGAGAAAAAAAAAAAAGGAATTTGAAAATTGTTATTTATTTTGACTTCCTCCATGCTTGTAGCCAAAGTAACTCTCCTGAAGGAAAGACGACTCCAATGGCTTCCTGCTGCCTCTAGGATAAAATATAAACTCTTCTGTTCAGCTTTCAGAAGCCCTACATAACCTGGCTGCAGCCTATCTTTCCAGTTTCATTGAACTCCCCCTTGCACATGGTAGCCCAGTCAAATTGGCCTTCTCTCTACTCTTCAAACAACACTGGCTTTGTGGGGGCTCTCCCCCATGCCTGGAATGTACTTCCTCCTTTACCCAGCTCCATAGAATTGCCCTCTTCCCTTGAGATTTAGCTCAGGTATTATCTTCTGCATGAAGCATTTTTGGACCCCCTCCATCTGCTGGTGCTCCCACTTCTGTGTGTGTGTGTGTGTGTGTGTGTGTGGGAGGGTGTGTGTGTGTGTGTATTCACTTTATGTTTATGCTGCATGTATTTATGTATGTACTTCTCTCTCCCTCACTGGAATGTAAGTGCTTTGTGAGTAGGGATTGTTAGCACTGTACCTGGTGTGCAGTAGTTGCTTAGTAAGTACTTATTGATTAATTGATTTTACCTTTGCTTTTCTTGGGAGCTGCCTCCTTGCCCATCCTGGGCACCTGTGGAATTTCCTTCATATACTGGGGTAGGTGTGAGTATTCTTTGCCATACTGCATGGGGGGCATCTCCTTACCCATGGGAAGGCCATCTTTGCCCAAAGGCATGTGAGGTACTTGTTGTCCCAGGGGCTGGTATTGGGGTATCTGAGGTGGGATTTGAGGTGGAAGCTGTTTAATCCCATAATAGGCACCGCCATGAATGGACCTGATGAAACTGAGATAAATGAGGATCACCACTTCCAGTAGCTGTAGAGGGGTCAGGGGAACAGCCATTACCTGTGGAAAGAAAGGGACAGATCAACACTGTGAAAATCTGAAGATTGATCCTGTTGGGGGCATGATGGTCTAAAAGAGCAGTCGGGGAAACTGATAATTCCGCGAGAAGTCACCGTGAAGGATATTGAAGAGGAATGAAAGAAGATACGGGCGCAATAGCCTTAAAAGGGTCCAATGACCTCCTCCGACTTGGAATTTAAAGTTTTAAAAGAAATAATGAGGGAGAATGAGAAATGCAGAGGTAGGAGAAGCGTGGGTGGCAGAGGTAGTAACAGTGGCAGAGGCAGGGGCAGTGGCAGAGGCAGGGGCAGAAGCAGGGGTAGAGGCAGGGGCGGTGGCAGAGGCGGCAGAAGCAGGGGCAGTGGTAGAAGCGGG